CTCTGCAGTCAGCCACCTTAGGATCCAGCAACCTGGATCCACCACGTCACTAGATGGCCTTAAAATGCTCTTGGGCATAATTTTAAGACACAGTGAAGTTCCTTAGTGATTATTTTGGGTCTTGTTTATAAGATTTATATGGTAGCACCAAAGCAGCATTTATTCTGCGTTTAATCTTATTCTGCTAATCAGGTGAGTCACTTCTTAGTAAGATAATTGATGTCCTGGGAATTATCAAGGTTTCTTCCCTTGGTGTTGGCTCTTGGGAGAGACACAGGTGCTATTGTTTCTAAACTTTGTGAGTGATGCTTCAGTCCTGGGGAGTTGACCAGCAAACTATGAGAAGGATATTCTGCACAAATCTTAAATTCTTTCTGAACATCCCCTCTTCAGTGCTAGAGACTGCAACCATTGGACTCCTTGGTTGTATTACATTCTCAGCTATGTCTTGTCAACTCGGGGAAATCCTTGGAATTTGACTAGGATCCAGAAACTGTCTAGATAATGAGTTGGAGAAATTGATTGTATCATTTGTCTTTCATCTTTTATGGATCACTATTTTTTGTTGCCTGATACCAAATATGTTCAGGGCCATTATTTCATAATCTTTCTCTTTTTTTTTTTTCGGAGTTTTCAGTGGCAAGATAAATCTAGTCCCTACTACTCTACCTGCCAGGAGCAGAAGCTATGTAGGTTTAAATAACTATTTAATAGCTTTATTTCTACTCAGAGATTTATGTTGCTGCCTTTACTTATGGGTGATAATTTTTTAAAACCATATGGACTATCAGTGAAAGCTCTAATATCATATTATGTAATACTATTAATCTCAAAGAGTTTTACATAAAAAGGACTATAAAAAGTATATCACACATGCAACTATTCAATATTACACTCTAGGGAGTAGGAAATTAAATGAGCATTCTTGCACAAGACAGATAGCCATGTAAATTTTCACAGCCCTTTATATTTAAAGGAAAAAAAACCAGAAAATGTAAAATAATTATAATCTAGACCTAGTAATTTTTAATCTGAGATGCTATTTTGTGGAGAAAAAAATTTATGTAAATTCTCTAAATATAGTTCATTGAATTTAAAAATAAAGTTATTTAATAATAGAAATGATGCATGCATATGTAGCCACTAAAGCCATGTTTATAAACAGTTGATCTAAAAGGAAAGATTTGTTACACTGTAAATTGAAATAAGTAAATTAGTTTATAGAACTTATATTTAGTAACTTATTAACATATTAAAATTGTAACTATGCCTTTTTGATTATCTTAATATAAAAATGTGTGAAATATGCATAAATACATTAAATAAATATACAGTATATTAATGACCAGCCTCATGCCATGCCCTATATTATACACACAGGGCAGTATCAAAGTAGCAAATATCTACTTTTTTTTCTAGTGGGGTAGTGTATGTGTTTTACAGAAAGTGTAGAGTACTATTGTATCAAATAAGTATGTTAATGAACAGTGTTTAGAAAATTAAATTATAGTTTATGTTTTTTAAAAGTGGCTAAATTTATTTTTATTGACGTTTATATCTTTGCATTTTGTGGACACATAAAAATCTTTCTTGTGAGGGACCAGCAGATGGCATAATGGCTATGTTGCTGGACTCCCATGTAGTTGACCATAGTTTGAATCCTGGACCCGGTGGCTTAAACTCATGCTGGGCGCGTGTATGTGTGTGCCCAAGATCCCAAGAGGAGAATGGAGGAGAAGGGATTGCGGTGTGGCCATCCCCCTTAGGAGATGATTTCTCACTTTCTGTCTCTGTCTCTGTTGTTCTGGCGAGTGCACGCACCCTATAGCAAAAACCACTCCAAAGGAAAAATCCATCTCATGCTTCAAAGTCCTAGTTTTGGTATGGTAGTTTACATTCTCTTTATTTGGCAAAGTATTTTTACATAATTATGCTAATTTTTTTCATTCTGTTTATATGACCCAATCTGTTTATATTATATTGTTCTTAATTTAAATGTCATGCTCCTGTTTAATTTTATGAACTTTAGATTATGTACGATGAAAACTATTTTTTAAATTTTACAATTTGGTATTGTGTTAAATATCTACCTGAGGCCCAGTGTGTTGGTGTGTGCTGCTAGGAGGCTGTGCTCTGCAGACTGGGACCACATGAAAGGCCCAGGTTTGATTCTTAATCCAGCCCAAAGGCTAGCATATGGTGTATACTTGAAATCCCAGATGGGGATTCAAGGGAAAAAAAAAAAAATAGGTCTATATGACAGCAATTAAATTTGAGAAATGAAGAGGTATATTGGATTATTGAATTGTAATTGCTGATTAATAAAATTTATTTTTGGTTACTTAATTTTTATAGAGAAACTGAGTCTTAGCTTTGAATACATTATTTCAGGTTTGTTTGTTTGTTTCTTTTTTTCCTCATAAGCTGTGTGTGTTTACTGAAGAGAGAAGGAAAGTGAGACATCACTGCCCAGGAGGATGGCCATAATGTAATTACTTCTCTTCCATTCTCCTCTCAGGATTTTGGGCATGCACACACGTGTATTTGTTGTGATGTTCAAGCTACTGATCTGGGGCCAGAACTATGGTCAGCTATGTAGGAGTCCATTGTATTAACCACCATGCCACCTGCTGGCCTCTCTGCTGGCTCTTTAAAATTTTTCCCTTATTTCTGCAGAATTTGATCAGTAAGTAAGTAGCTACATCTGTTAGGTTATGGGTGAAAATTAACTTTGGGGATGATAGAGAATATAATGTATTTCTTGTTGCTTTGGGCTCTCCCACATATCTGTAGTCCGATGGAATAATTATCAAAGGGGCTGGGGATTGTGAAAGGTAAGAGAGGTACAATAATCGATCACATCATTTCTTGATTTAGTAGTGTAATGTATGTAGGAGATAAACAATCGACTTCTTGAAAGGACCGAATGGGAGCTAGATTTTTTTCAGGAAGCATCAGGTTCATTAAGAACAGTGTTGGGACCAGCATTTAGCATATGGTTATGTCACTGGACTCCCACGTAGTCGACTGCGGTTTGCGTCCTGGAGCCGGTGGCTTAAAACTCATGCCGGGTGCGTGTGTGTGTGTGCCCAAGATCCCTAGAGGAGAATGGCGGAGAGGGGATTGTGACATGGCCATCTCCCCTGGGGGGTGATTTCTCGCTTTCTGGCTCTCTGTCTCTGTCTGTCTGGCGAGCGCACGCGCCCTCTAGCAAAAACCTCTCCAAAAAGAACAACGAAGTGGAGGAAACTTCAGGAAAAATCCCAAGTGCATCTTGGCTATGATTTACTGTGGGCAGCAGCCAGATGACACAGTGGTATGTTTTCAGAAGATGGGAAAGGTGAGAAGTGTGATGACAGAACATAATGCATTAAGATTAAAGTCTAAGCGATGGGTGTTCAGAGAACCTTGGGTCCTTTTTTTTTTGAGAGAGGGGATGTTTGTTTGTTTTTGTTTTTGTTTTGCTATCAGGCGCGTGCACTCGCCAGAAAGCGTATGCAGGCAATTCACTTCACATTCATATATGCACACTGTCAAAAACTGAAATACGCATTTAAGGAAAACAGACAGATGCCAAATACTTAACGTCCTTCATAATCATCTACCTTTAACGTTAGCACAATCATTTAGAAACCAATATAAAAAGATACGTAACTAAAATTTGTTCACTCCTTTGATTATTTGGAATTTCTTTTAGTTTGTTAAATTGAAGTAAAGTTCGACGCTTTTTTATTTCAAAATGTTATGCACATTATAATTTTCTTTTTATGTATTTAACTTTTTATTTATCTCTCCATTTATCCCTAGCCTTATTTTTCTTAACTATTTACAGTTGAATGTTTAATGTTATAATTTAACTGTTTAATAGAGGGTATGAATAATATCAATCCCTTTGGGCTTTTGTGAAGATTAAATGAGATGACAGAAGCAAATGCCTAGAAAGTTATTGATGTAGAATTGTTTATATAATGTTGATTTTTTTTTTTTGGAGGGGGGATAGGTTTTTTTGCTATAGTGTGCGCGTGCTTGCCAGAAAGAGAGAGACAAAAAGTGAGAAATCACCCCTCCCAGGGGGATGGCCATGCCACAATCCCATCTCCTCCATTCTCCTCTCAGGATCTTGGGCACACATGCCCAGTGTGAGTTTAAGCCACCTGTTCCAGGACTCAAACTGCAGTCGACTACATGGGAGTCCGGTGACATAGCCATTACGCCAACTGCTGGTCCCCAAAGTGTTTTAATTTCTAAAATACTCTGTTTGAAATATGTCTGTAGTACTAGCTCTTATAGAAAATAAATTAGAAGTGAAATCCTATATGAAATGCATTCTGAATTTAAGAATGTTTAGTTGCCAAATCAACAAAGAAGTTACTTCTTCCACTAAGGTTCATCTGCAAGGTTAACTTTCACCCTAGATGGAGATTATGATGCACTACCCATAATTATTTAAACTTAACTTCCTTTTGTGGCCTTAATGTGAATTGTCTCTGTGTCTCTGAGTAAATATTCTAGAAATATTGATTTTTTTGTTTTGTTTTAGGTAACAACATTACATAAAGAAAATTGAAATGTTCCAATTGTGCCACCACTTTACACAAAATAAAGTCTTTTAAACGAAGCTGCTGGTTTTGATGTTTAATCCTCATAGTGTTTAACCCCCAGACTTGTCCTCACTTCATGCCAATATGTTCTGGGAAAAGTATTGATCATTTTTTCTTCTTAAATTTGCAGATAAATATAATTAATGTTGGATGTATAATAGGAAAAAATAAAATTAAGAAATTTTGTGGAAACTTCAGTTGAGATGTTGTTTATTTACTTGTGCCACTCATAACATTGAGTAGTTATGTTTATTTTTACCCAGTGTGCTTTGGGACATTTTAGAATGTTGTTTATAAATGCTTTAACATTTTAAAAAATACTTTGTAAATGAAAAATGCATTAGCACAGAAGAGGTGGGTCAACAGTTTATTAATATTTAATACTTTTCATTTTTATAGGATATAAAGAGTGATTGAACAAAACATTCATTTGTCTGATCCTCATCATGAACCGTGCTTTTAGCAGGAAGAAAGGTAAGTGTGCTCATTTGTAAAGACTCGAGTCAAATCAATATTACTATGAAAATAGAGCAAACATATTAAGAAGTCTGTTTTCCCTATTATCAAACCGCATGACTTATGAATAAAGGTCAGTTAGAACTGCACAAATCCGAAAACATTACTAATTAATATTCTTTGGATATCATCCTAATGAAAGAGCAGAGTTATTTAATACACATCATTCACAATACATTACATGTGTGATAATATGTTCCCTGACAATTTTATGCTGTGCTGCAAAACTGAGAATAATACAGTAATCGGAAATCTATTCCTAATTTTCTTTATACAGCCATACAATACTAAATTCTCAGTGCTCACATAAGATTATAGCCATAAATTCATTCATTAATTCATTCATGAGTGTGTGCGTGTACACACACACACACACACACACACTTCATGTATTACTGAATAATAGGAATAAAGATTCCTAACAGGTGATTTGATAACAATGAGGCCCCAGGGAGTTTGTTACTAATTTTCAATGAAGAATTTTAAATAAGCATAATGTAATATATCTTAATTATTAAAAGTACACAAATACAAAAAATAGCACTTTTTAAAAAATAAATGTTTACCTTAGGGTATGTGCGCTTGCCAGAGAGACAGAGAAGTGAGAAAGTGAGAAATTACCCTGGGAAGGATGATCATGCCATAATCCCTTCTCCATTCTCCTCCTGAGATCTTGGGCACCCATGCATATGTGTGTGGCATGATTTTCAAGCCACTGGGTCCAGAACTTGAATTGCGGTTGGCCATGTGGGAGCTCAGTGAACTTAACTGCTATGCCATCTGCTGGCTCCAAGCATATGTTATATTTTTAAGGGTCAGGAAAAACATGAAATTTCACAAAATATTTTATACCACACTTTTAGAAAAGAGAAAAATGTGATAGTTTTGTCTAGTTTAGTAAAGTTAAGATAAGGTACTCTTGTCTTCTAGAAGGAGTTTTCTATTGGAGGGCACAGAGCTCTTTCCTACTTTACAGACTATCAGTGGTTTGAGAGAGAATACTTAAACAATCCTAATCGAACTCATAGATTATTGAAAGCAGGGAGAATGACTGGTAGAGTAGGAATATGGATATGCTCAGACATATTCCACACTATAAGGTATATGTAAATTGCCAAACAAAAGTCTAGAAAGTCTGCTACTTTTCTCATTATTCACACATTGTTATTGTTTGGAAGTATAAGAAGGGTTTGAAAAAAAAAAAAAAAAAAAAAAAAAAAAAAAAACAAGGCGAAAGAATACAGTGAGTGGGCCAGCAGGAGACATGGTGGCTGACACTCTTATTTGTTTTGTTGATAATAGTATACACAATGTGTTCACTCTTAAAAGGAATTAAAGGGTTAACCAACACATTAGCATAAGAAGAGAATAGGATAGAAATGGATAGGGTGGCTTCAGAACTTTTAACTCTGAGACAGGAAGCATAACTGAGAACCCTTGGTTTCATAACTAGCTGTCTTTCAGTACTTGAAACCTGCCATTTGGGCATGGCACTAAACTTATTAAAGGACAAAGAGTGTAAATTATAAGGTCATTGATTTAATGGTCAAGAAAAAAATTCTAACAAAGTCTTATAAAAGTGTAATGCATTGTCCAAATTACTAACTTTTTTTGTCACTCAAGTGAGAGGTATTCAAACATTTGGATGTGAAATAGAATATTAATGCATTCAGTAGAATTTATATAATGTGACCTTTAAGGCACTTTTTAACTCTGGGGAACTAGAAATTTATTATTTTACTGATTTTTCTGAGCAAAGGGAAGGAAAATGACATTGATTGCCATCTGTAGCTTGCTTCTGATTTAAAACATATTCTAAAAATAAAATAATGTTTCTTCTTATTCTTTTTAATAGTAACAGTCTAGAAATAATTCTTTGATATAGAAGTATTTTAATAAAGTAATAGAAACCATATATCACAAGATCACTTTAATCATACCTATCTTATTTATTTTTCATATGTACATATTTATCTTCTTCATGGTCTTAAAATTGAAACTTCACATTTCTACTACTTATTTGAAGGAGATTGGAATGCGTTTTTTACTGCTGTTAAACAGATCGTAAGAGCTGGCTAGTTATACGAGCAACTTCGATTGCATAATTGTCTCATTTGAGCACAGTGAGAGTCAAGGAGAGGGAAAATTGGAGTGGTTTAGAGAATAACAAAGCAGAAGTGCTTGTTTTCCATGCTCTGCTTCATTCTTTTTAAATTTATTTCTACTCCCCTTATTTTTCAACTGTAATGATTAAACTCTATCAGGAAATTATTGATCAATAGTTTGTTCTAACTCCAAGGTAGAATTTGATACTGGCAAGTCTGTCTTTAGTTGACCAGTTAATGCTGACTCACATTTTTTGAGTTTGTTAAAGTATGAAATCTTGGAATCTCTCCTCTGGTTTTAAACAATAACACTACTTGATTTAATTTTTTTTCTTTCTTTCTTTCTTTTTTTTTTTTTTTTGGAGAGATTTTCACTGTAGGGCGCGTGCGCTCGCCAGACAGACAGAGAGAGACATAGAGACAGAAAGCGAGAAATCACCCCCCAGGGGGGATGGTCACGCCGCAATCCCGTCTCCTCCATTCTCCTCTCGGGATCTTGGGCATGCACGCACATGCGTCCGGTGTGAGTTTTAAGCCACCGGGTCCGGGACACAAACCGCGGTCAACTACGTGGGAATCCAGCGACATAGCCATTACGCTAACTGCTGGTTCCCACTACTTGATTTAATTTTAATTTAAGAAAGAAGATTTGAATTTTATGATAGAACCCAGGGAACTTTACAATCTAGAACTATAATTATATCCCTAGAAAATATAATTCAAACCATATTTTTAATAATGAACACCAGTGTATGCTACATGTGATATTCTACATAAAGCAATATGGTTTTCTAACAGTAAAAGCTTATGTCTTTATTTTATAGATATTCAATTTACTTGGCGATCATATGCAACTTTACTAAATGATTCTGAATCTTTTAAACCTAAAAAAAGACCATCTTCTTTTTTTTTTGGAGAGGTTTTTGCTATAGGGCATGTGCGCTCGCCAGATAGACAGACAGAGACAGAGAGATAGAAAGCAAGAAATCACCCTCCAGGGGGGATGGTCACGCCGCAATCCCTTCTCCTCCATTTTCCTCTCGGGATCTTGGGCACGCACGCACACGCGCCCAGTGTGAATTTAAGCCACCAGGTCCGGGACTTGAACCGCGGTCGACTACGTGGGAGTCCAGCAACATAGCCATTACGCTAACTGCTGGTCCCGAATTATTGAATATTTTTTGATGAATAGGTCATCTAAATACATCGTGGAAGTCTAAATATTTAGAGCCAGTAAACTGGGTTGTATGTCCAGTAATTCAAAATGTTGGCATTTTCTTTCATTCAAATGCTCAATGTTAAGTTAGTGAATAGGGGAGTATGTTCTAAAACGTCTTAATCCCATTTCTTCAGTAGTTTCACATGCTGTCTAATTGCTCTGTAGGCACGTAGGTGAGTGACCAGAGGCCATCATCTGTATTCCTTCCCGAAGATGGTACCACATCTGTATGAGTTAAAATAAAGAGTTTTATATTGTCGTTTATTTTTCTTTTGCCAAAGGATAAGCAAGAATAATTATTAGGACTCATTTTAGAAATCTTTTAGGTTTTATGAGCAGACTGTATATAGTAGAAGTTACGTAAGGAACAACTGAAACATTAGTACTTGATATCATGTGAATACATGTATTTGTCATTTTAGGAACTGCATCTTATCCACCGATAATTTTTACTGAGGTTATTTTAGTCTGTCTCTAGAAAACAGCTGGATATACCTGCCCTCCTAGGCCAGTGTAATGTGAGACTGTAGCACAGGCAATCTCATCAGTTTGAAAATAACTGTGGAGAGGCAGTTTTGTCTGTACCTCAGGACTGATACGAACCATCATATTCATACTTCAGTCAGATTTTATATCCTCCTGAGAAGTGTAATATGCTTTGGGAAGGAGACATGAAAACTATTAAGAAAAGAATAAAAGATAAATTTGGTATATTTATAGGCTTCCAGAAATCAGGGATTTTGTGTTTTTATTGTTTTGCTGTTTTGGGTATACAGTTATTGTGATTTACTTCTTTTAGTGTACAAGGGCAGGACTATAACCCAAATCCAAGTACCAATTATTCTTGAACTCATCACAATCCATTAGTAGTCATAAAAACTGTAATTAAGGTGAAAAATCATACAACTTTACATATCCTAATTTCACATATTAAATGTCCTTGGCATATTGTCTTTTGAAGGTTAGAATGCATTGTTTATCAAAATATTTTACCCAAGCACAGTTATCATATATCACTCTAGTGGTCCGAACAGTCTCAATGCTATTAATACTTTCTGTTTTTGTCTTGTGAATGGTGCATTGTACCACATAAACAGTTTTAATATAAATATAGTGCCTTATATTCCAAATATTGTAAGTAACTGACTTTCCAGTAACATGCACCATTTTCTCTGTGTTCATGTTCTGGCAGTTGGAGAACATATTAATTATATCAGATTTGTTTCTGTTAATATCATCCTAAAATATTCTGAATTGAGGGGCTAGCAAGTGGTGTGGTGGTTAAGGTGCTGGATTCCCACTTGGCTGACCATATTTCGAGGCTACACTGGTTACTTGAAAATCATGCTGGGTGTGTGTGTGCATGCTTGCCCAAAATCTTGGGAGAAGAATTAAAGAGAAAAGATTTCAGCATGGTCATCCCTCCTGAGGTGTAATATCTCACTTTCCTTCTCTTTGTCCCCCTCTGGTGAACATACATGCCCTGTGTAAAAATCTTAAAAAAATAAAAATAAACAAATAAAAATTCTGAATTGAATAGTGAAATTTTCCTTTTAGTAATCTGATTTGTTTTTTTTGAGAGAAATTTTTGCTATAGAACATGTGCAGTCACCAGACAGACAGAAAGAAAGAAATCGAGAAATCACCTGCCCCAGGGGTGATGGCCGTATTACAATCCCTTCTCTTTCATTCTCCTCTCAGGGTTTTTTTTTTGGGGGGGGGGAACCGGTTTTTGGAGAGGTTTTTTGTTTGTTTGTTTTTTGCTATAGGGTGCATGCGCTCGCCAGACAGATAGAGAGAGACAGAGAGACAGAAAGCGAGAAATCACCCTCCAGGGGGAGATGGCCACGCCACAATCCCTTCTCCTCCATTCTCCTCTTGGGATCTTGGGCAGGCATGCACACATGCCCGGCGTGAGTTTTAAGCCTACGGTTTGGGGACGCAAACCACGGTTGACTACATGGGAGTCCAGCGACATAGCCATTACGCTAACTGCTGGTCCTGAGAAGTTTTTGCTATAGGGCGCATGCGCTCGCCAGACAGACAGAGAGAGACAGAGAGACAGAAAGCGAGAAATCACCACCCAGGGGGGATAGCCACACTGCAATCCCTTCTCCTCCATTTTCCTCTCTAGATCTTGGGCACGCATGCACATGCGCCCACTGTGAGTTTTAAGCCCCCGGGTCCGGGACTCGAACTGTGGTTGGCTATGTGGGAGTCCAGTAACATAGCCATTATGCTGTTGGTCCCTCCTCTCAGGATTTTGTGTAAGCATGCACATGCAACTGGCATGAGTTTCAATTCATTGGGTTCTGGACTCAACCGCTTTCAACTACCTGGGACTCTAGCACCTTAATCTCTAAGCCACCTGCTGGTCCTAGTAATCTGATTTTTAAAGTATATACTTGGGACCAGGAGATAGCATACCGGTTATATCACTGGACTTCCACGTAGTCGACTGCAGTTCAAGTCCCAGACCTGGTGGTTCAAAACTCATGCTGGGCATATGTGCATGTGTGTCCAGTACGCTGAGAGCCGAATGGAGGGGAAGGGATTGTGGCATGGCCATCCCCTGGGAGGTGTTTTCTCGCTTTCTGTCTCTCTCTTTCTGGTGAGTGCATGTGACCTATAGCAAAAATCTTTCTCAAAAAATTCTTTTTAAATATAATAAATAAAATATGTAGTTATTTACTAAGTTTCATGGTAAAATACATTTTTTTATATTATCCTGTTCATAATATTGATTCTAAATTTTTAAACTCCCAAAAGGGATACAATAAACACAAAACTCCCCTAATGAAGACAAAGCATATTTGAGGATTGAGAATTCTTACCCCACACAAATGCAGGTTTTAAAACAAAATTAATTTGCTTTGTGTAAATATTATTATTTCTCTCCCTCTTATTTATACCACCAAATATTTGTAGAATTTATCTGTAAAGTTCAAAATTTAATGATAATATGAATAAATTAGCTTATCTAATATATACCAGCAATTATTTTCAGTATCTTCTATCTTTCAGAGTTAATGTTATTTCTAATATCTTATTACAATAACTTAGAAAATATTTTAGATTATTGCAGACAAGTCTATTTTTAAATCTCTTGATAGTAGACCCTCAGTCAATGTTTCTCTAAATTTAGAATAAAATTATCCTAATATAATACTGTTTTCTAAATGAACATAGTAGATTGATTGTATTTTAGCTTTATGCAAATACAGTTGCTAGTTTAATTTCACTTTACAATAGTTAATTCTCAATCCCCAAGTAGAATAATTACAATGAGTAAGGAGCAGTTTACTCTTTATTGTTCTGGGAATTAAGGACAATATTCTGTTTGAAAACTTTGGGAAATCACCCTAAAATACTCTCTAGGTACATAATTAGCTATCTGATTGCTTTTACTCATCTTAACAAAAGAGTTTCAGATTCAGAAACCCTTTCTGCATCTCAGAATCTCTACAAATAATCATGCTAATAGGACATCATGAGAACCTGTAACTTACCACTGTGTATTCTTCATTGCAGACAAAACATGGATGCATACCCCTGAAGCTTTATCAAAACATTACATTCCCTACAATGCCAAGGTAAAAATAGTTCATATAATATTCTTTACTCTGTTGATTTATTTAAATTATTAATTAAATTGAATGATATAATTTATTAATTTATTTATATTAAATAACCTAATTATTTAATAGCATTTTATCTTCTTAGAGTATTATTACTAATTTATGGTTGATCTTAGAAAGATTATCAATACTTTGGTATTTCCCAATAAATATACTCTGGAAAAAGCTTACAAAAATAATTGTGTATAGTATGGGAAGTTATTTTTCTTTCTAAATAAATGATTTTTTTTTTAAGGTGTCTTAAGGGTCAGTCCATAGTTGTGGTAGTTAAGACAAGTGGATCACACATGGCTTATTACAGTATTCAAGTCTCAGATCTGGAAATTTGAGAAACATGCTGGGTGCATGTTGCATGTGCCCCAAATCCAAAAAGCAGGGATAATTAAAGGAGAAGGGATTGTGGTTTGACCATTACCCATGGAGGGTGCTTTCCCTCTCCCTCTTTCCCACGGTCTCTCTCTTTTTCTCTGTGCACATACTCTCTGGAAAAAAAAAATAAAGTCTTAAAATATCTGTTTATGTAATGCATGTATTTTCTTTAAATGAGGCTATTGGATAAAAGCAACTTCTTTGCTAAGACTATAGGAAATGTCTTCAAAAAGTTCATGGAAACTACATCTTATTTTTTAAAAAACAAACTATGCATCAAAATCAAGTTGTTCTTTAATCCCATTACCACAATCTTTTCAAAATCCTCTTGTATTCTAACCTCTATGTTAATTTCTACATGCTATGGATTCTCAAAAATTTATTTCCCTTTTTGTTTTGATTTCTGTATAAGCAACTGAAAGAAAATTCTAGGGGAAAGTTTATCCAAGAGTACAAATGGCATAACATTTTATTGGTACAGCCAGAAAAAATAAAATCAGATTCACAGCAGATAATCCCAATCTTATTATGCTTTCAACTTTTAATGATATTTGAATTTTGTCTCATGTCTACACAAAAACCTAATAACTTTAGTCCAGTTTGAGGTTCAAGTTAAAAAAAAAAATCCATGAGACACTTTGTAGAGACTTGGACAGTAAGATGAGGCAGATGTCAGATGAGAACTACAGTCTAAGAGCGTTGGGACAGAGGCATGGCCCGGAGTTGAGGCATCTAGACAATCTAGGAGTCAAGGTTTCTTTCTGTTTACGTCATCTCTATGTTGTAAAATGGGATGCATGAATGAAATTTGGAGCTCTTTAACTTTGAGAGATTAGATACTGTCGGGAACTATGGGCACTCCCACATTCATTATTCCCTGCAGCATTATTCATAGCCGCCAGGATGTGGAAGACAATCTAAATACTGACAGATGAACAGATAAAGAAAACATCATATATGGGGGGAGGGGTCTTTAGAAAGTTGATAGAAATAGGAATTATGAAAAAGCCATGCATGAATTTCAAAAATGTTTGCACCAAGGGACCAGCAGTTAGCATAATGGCTATGTCACTGGATTCCCATGTAGTCGACTGTGGTTTGAGTCCCGGATCCAGTGGCTTAAACTCACGCTGGGCGTATGTGCGTGTGCGCCCAAGATCCCAAGAGAAGAATTGAGGAGAGGGGATTGCGGCGTGGCCATCCCCCCTGGGGGTGATTTCTCGCTATCTCTCTGTCTCTGTCTCTGTCTGGCAAGCACACGCGCCCTATAGCAGAAACCTCTCCGAAAAATAAATGTTTGCACCAATATCATACTTTAATTCCACCTTTCCATGAATGCTTTCACATCCCCTTGCACGTGTACAATCTAACATCATTCACCTTACACAAGAGCTGCCATTTGCCACTGCCGTTGACATGATGGACCTGAAAGACATTATGCTTAGTGAAATTAGGCACACACAGAGAGAGAACTATTGCGAGATCTCACATATATGTGGAATAAACATTTTTTTTTTCTTTTTAAAGTGGTCAAAAACAGGACCAACAGTTGGTGTAATGGCTATGTCACTGGACTCTCATGCAGTCGACCATGGTTCGAGTCATGGACTCAGTGGCTTAAAAGCACGGTGGGTGCACGTGTACCATGAGTGCCCAAGATCCTAAGAGGAGAATGGAGGAGAAACGGATTGTGGGGTGGCCATCTCCCCTGGGAGGTGTTTTCTCGCTTTCTGTCTCTCTCTTTCTGGTGAGTGCATGTGACCTATAGCAAAAATCTTTCTCAAAAAATTCTTTTTAAATATAATAAATAAAATATGTAGTTATTTACTAAGTTTCATGGTAAAATACATTTTTTTATATTATCCTGTTCATAATATTGATTCTAAATTTTTAAACTCCCAAAAGGGATACAATAAACACAAAACTCCCCTAATGAAGACAAAGCATATTTGAGGATTGAGAATTCTTACCCCACACAAATGCAGGTTTTAAAACAAAATTAATTTGCTTTGTGTAAATATTATTATTTCTCTCCCTCTTATTTATACCACCAAATATTTGTAGAATTTATCTGTAAAGTTCAAAATTTAATGATAATATGAATAAATTAGCTTATCTAATATATACCAGCAATTATTTTCAGTATCTTCTATCTTTCAGAGTTAATGTTATTTCTAATATCTTATTACAATAACTTAGAAAATATTTTAGATTATTGCAGACAAGTCTATTTTTAAATCTCTTGATAGTAGACCCTCAGTCAATGTTTCTCTAAATTTAGAATAAAATTATCCTAATATAATACTGTTTTCTAAATGAACATAGTAGATTGATTGTATTTTAGCTTTATGCAAATACAGTTGCTAGTTTAATTTCACTTTACAATAGTTAATTCTCAATCCCCAAGTAGAATAATTACAATGAGTAAGGAGCAGTTTACTCTTTATTGTTCTGGGAATTAAGGACAATATTCTGTTTGAAAACTTTGGGAAATCACCCTAAAATACTCTCTAGGTACATAATTAGCTATCTGATTGCTTTTACTCATCTTAACAAAAGAGTTTCAGATTCAGAAACCCTTTCTGCATCTCAGAATCTCTACAAATAATCATGCTAATAGGACATCATGAGAACCTGTAACTTACCACTGTGTATTCTTCATTGCAGACAAAACATGGATGCATACCCCTGAAGCTTTATCAAAACATTACATTCCCTACAATGCCAAGGTAAAAATAGTTCATATAATATTCTTTACTCTGTTGATTTATTTAAATTATTAATTAAATTGAATGATATAATTTATTAATTTATTTATATTAAATAACCTAATTATTTAAAATAGTTTATATCATATTCTTTACTCTGTTGATTTATTTAAATTATTAATTAAATTGAATTATATAATTTATTAATTTATTTATATTAAATAACTTAATTATTTAATAGCATTTTATCTTCTTAGAGTATTATTACTAATTTATGGTTGATCTTAGAAAGATTATCAATACTTTGGTATTTCCCAATAAATATACTCTGGAAAAAGCTTACAAAAATAATTGTGTATAGTATGGGAAGTTATTTTTCTTTCTAAATAAATGATTTTTTTTTTAAGGTGTCTTAAGGGTCAGTCCATAGTTGTGGTAGTTAAGACAAGTGGATCACACATGGCTTATTACAGTATTCAAGTCTCAGATCTGGAAATTTGAGAAACATGCTGGGTGCATGTTGCATGTGCCCCAAATCCAAAAAGCAGGGATAATTAAAGGAGAAGGGATTGTGGTTTGACCATTACCCATGGAGGGTGCTTTCCCTCTCCCTCTTTCCCACGGTCTCTCTCTTTTTCTCTGTGCACATACTCTCTGGAAAAAAAAAATAAAGTCTTAAAATATCTGTTTATGTAATGCATGTATTTTCTTTAAATGAGGCTATTGTTAAAAATTATTTCCAATATTATGACCTATAGGAAATAGCTAACAAATTACCTTCCTTTTAAAACATTGTAATGTTGCATTACTCAGACTAAAAATAAAAACTATTCAAAAATGAGAAAAATGAGCTACAATTTTAATGAATGTAATTATTGTCTGAAAACAACACAACTTGAACTATTAAGAAAATCCAACAACAACAAAAACCAGTTTTATTCCTTTTTTTTGTGATTCTTTGTTTAGGTTGCTGAATTTTTTAATATATTTTTTATTTTATTTTTAAAATTTTTTATATACATTCAATCACATTGTTTAGCTTACAGCGTGAGCATTTCAATATGTGAACATTTCTCCCCAGTCCCGTTGATCAAAATATCTTCAACCGATAACAGGTTGCTGCATTTTTAACAGAAAAAGTATAAACACTACGTTTCACTACACTATGTTTTCAAACACGTGACCTATTTTTGTTATTGTTGGAAACGTACACAAATGAGTAAATGCAATTTGCAAAAGAGACTTTGAAGAAGGGTGCTTGGACCAGCTGGTAGCATAGTGGTTACCGTGTCTGGATCCCACATGGCAGACTCAGACTCAGCAAGTTGAGAAATACACTGAGTATGTGTGTGTGCCAAAATCCTAAAATGAGGGAGAAGAGGAGGAGGGATTTGGCTGGTGACCATTCCCCATAGCAGATGATTTCTCACTTTTCCTCACCCCATCTTATGTCTCTTTGTGTTTCTTGGTGAGCACATGCAGCCCCTGGCACTTTTAGGTATTTTTTTCATAGTTAGTAAACAGCAAGCTTGAAGATGTTTTGCAAGAAATCTGAGTCTAAATTTGAAAGAGACAGAAATGAATTAAAAGAGTTCTGACTGCCAATATGAGAGTTGGTCAAACTTAAGTAAACTATAGCAATAACATGAGAGAAAACAAAAAAAATTATTATTTTTAGGAGAACCTAAAGGTTTATACATTAGCGAACTGTACATTGGGATATAGTAAGATTAAGCATGAGGGATTATTTTAGGAACAAAAGTTTATCAAGAGAAAGTCAGTGGCGTAAACCTCTATAGGGTTGGTCTAAGTCTGAATCAGCAAGGGGAAGCATTTATAAGTTCATCTCCAAGATGTTCTTCTAGAGCTGTTACTCAG